AGCTTTTCTCAGCCTGATCCATCATTCACTTGTGGTGGAACTACCCATGCTGGCTGGGAAATCTAGGAATTATAGTCCTGGAAGAAACCAAGCTCATGAAAGCTTGGATGCTAGAGGAGATAAGTGACCCCAAACTGTTTGGGACCAGAAAATAAATATTCACTGGTTGTACCCTATTGCCAGCAGACAACAGACTTCAGGCTTTCTGACTTTATTTTGCTGATGATGCTTTATAATGGCAATGTATGCAACTAATTCCAGGTGTCAAACACTAAGGCAACTGTTTGTAGGAATAAACTATTCACACAAAGTTGTGTTCCTTGTTTACCCACACCCCAAAATTAATTAGAGGAATCTAATTTAGAAAGGGGGTGAAGTATTTTCTCTGTTGTGGTTGTTAATATCCTTACAGAAAATCACCCACAAATATATTAAAATATGCTATCCCCCTTTACTGCATCAATCAGACATAATAGGGTAACCTTGTCAAATCTGAGTACCCTTGAGGTGTGTAGTCTAACTCCTAGAATTCTCTGGTTAACATGACTATTGTTTAAAAAAATATCTGGGAGTTAGACGTTCACACTGTTGAAGCATGTCACAATCAGAGAAGGTTGTCATATGCTGTTGCTTACATTAGCAAAAAAAAAATGTTAATGAGCAAAATAGGTGACTAAATTGTGAAACTTTCCAGATCACATATGGCTCCTATGAATCTGAATAAAACTTAAAAATATCTCCATTGTTTAATAGAGAATTAACATATCAAAAATAATGTTACCTTCACCACCTTCATTTTGGCTTTCATTATTGGTATTTGTTTCCACTTATATACAAATATTGTACGGACCAAAAATTGAAACACTGATTCACTTCATACACATCCATAGGAGTAGGAAAACATCAGTCTAATGTAGAGAAAATTGAAAGAGTGAAAACAGGATGAGGCGTAACAGTCACTGGGGAGAGAAAAGGTTTTCACTTACAAAGACAAAAAAGACAGACACTGCCAACATGTTGTGATGATTCCTGTCACCACAATTGGTTTTCAGTGATGTCCAGAGCACATTTTCCAAATGTGCATGTAAATATAATGATCCGAATACTGGACTATTACTATCTTTATATATTTGTGATGGCTTAGGATGCCAATGCAAATAAATGTGCCATTGTGTGAACAACAGGCAGGCACTGCAAACATCTCCTTATAGCGCCATTGAGTTCATACAGAGCACTTATAAGCAAGAGAAACAGAGCAGGTTTTCCTTTTCTCAGGATGAGCCTAGAGGGCTCTTTCAAATTTGCTGTTGTTTCATGAATTGAAACAACAATAATTTTTAGAAGTTTAAAAAATAAATAGAACATAAATGAAAAACCCTATATAAACAAAAGGAACCTATATAACCAGCTCTGCCTTCTCTCCTTTTATATTTAGATTTTTGTATAGGCAAAATCGACAAAGCACCACTTATATTTTAAAGACAAACATTACATTCGCTGAACTGCTGGCACCTTTGGAAGATGATTACCTCATTGAAATAAAAACTGTAAGTGACAGAGGAGATGGAAGCAGCAGTGAAGAAATTCGAATTCCAACCCTCTCAAGTGAGTTCTCTTCCCTGCTCCTCCCTCCACTGTCCCTCCCTCCCAAATGATTGCTATAAACCAGGGGTGTCAAACTCGCAATGTCACGTGACATGTCACAACATATCGTGACTTTTTTCCCATTGCCAGCAATGGGGTGGGTGCAGTTTTGGCATGATGCATCCGGCCCGCAGGCCAGGAATTTTTTTTTTATATATATATAAATTTTTTTATTATTTTGCATTAAGCAACAAATACAAATGATGCATCTACAAACACCACAAAAGAAAAAAAATTTTTACTCAAAATATTTCCGAATACTCTCGGCAGTCCCGCCTTGCCTCCACCCTTATCTACTTTCCCTCTCTTTCCTCCCCCTAACCCTCAACCTCTCCTCTTCCCTCCTACCACTCTACATCCCTTTCGCCTTCTAACCACCACATCAAGTGCAATTTGGGGAACCTGCCGGGAATATTCTCTTATTATTACAATTCCGTTATATACTTATAATTATTTACTACATCAATTTATAATTTCCCTAAAACCCCTCCCCTCCCCGACTTCCCAGAACTAACACAGGATTCAACACCTCTTAACGCAATCAGTTTAAAAAAAAAACTTTAACTCAAATAATTAAAAAACAAAAAACTAACCTCCATTTTAACTCAAAACTAACAAAATTATCCATCTTCCCCAAATCCAAACCTCTAAAAAAGTAAACTCTACCATTTCTCTTATAATCATTCAAATATCTTAATCCCAGTAAATACAGATTCTAAGTTCTTTAAAATAATATAATTGCATACATATATAACATTAATCATCTAATATCTTATTTTTCTTATTTAAATGCTTTAAGCAGGCCAGGAATTTGACACCCCTGCTATAGACCTTGAATGCTCAAAAAGGACTTTTGGGACATACTGTATATGACAGCATCTTAGTAAGCAGCTAGGTGAACACAGGGTCCATGTCTTGGTTAAGAAAAGGAAAAGCAATTGATCTATAAAAATGCATTTGGATTTCCTGGGGTGCGTTTGGGGTGTAATGCTCTGCAGTTTGCTGATGTAAATGAAACCTGCAGCTGCGTGGAAATTTGTACTGCACTGAAATCAGTCTTCAGCACAATAGTCTTCATTATTTACTATTTTAGAACAGCTTAAAATATACCAAGTGTGATAGACAGGTTAAACTATATAATATCCTTGCCTGCAGGCTCACAATCAGCTGAAAATGAAAGACAAAAGGGAAGGGGAAGGGAAGAAAGGACATTGCTAATCAAGGCCTCATATGAGTGTATGTGTGCATTTACTATAATGACATTTGTGAACTAAACTCCATTAAAAGCATTTGTAAAGTTGAAAATAACATTCTAAATGGGCAACATATGATTTCAAGAATTAAACTAGAGAGGGGGGAAAAAGGGCAAATGTGTGAGAGTAAGTGACTAGGAGAACCAATATGTTATCCATGCTTTGAGCCACCTACCACCTTTACTTCTTAATAATACAAGCTGCAATTTGTTCTATAATATGGACCCACCATGGCCAGAGGCAAATTGACCTCTGGTATCAAAATCATCCATATATGGACCTACAACAGGTATCTCATGGATGACCCAAGTGGATAGGGCAGATATGGAGCAAGAGCATGAACAGTAAGATAAGAACTTTATGCCGTCATAAGAAAAGGTGTAAAATAAAAGTTGAAAAGTAGGAAATTCCATGCAGAGGTATCAGTAATAAAAGATGCTAAAGGATTATCAGAATTACTACTATCTGATAAAGAGAACTAGAAGAGCAGTCAAAAGAAAATGGGGTAATAAGAAGAATGGCAGATCTAAATTAGAACATTTCATGTGCTTCCTTGTTATATGCAAGATTTATTCAAGGGATTTCCAGAGGTAGAGAAAATTAAGGAGAATATTTGTAGCTCAGAATTGAAATGAGGAGTGAAGCATTAGCACTGATGATATTACCTAGTCTGGGTAATGAAACATCTGCATGAAAGCAGCCAAGCTCAGAAAACACCAAGGATTCCTCAGGTAGAGAAAAACCTGACACAGCAGAACAACTTTCCTTCACCATTCAAGGATTCTGTCATGATAAGAACCATATTCATTATAATTGATTATATTGTAATTCTCATGATTTTGTTTCATGTGCACCATACAGATGCCTAGTGATTGGGGCAGTATACAAAGATTGTAGATAAATAAAGAATTGACTATAAATAAAGGTAAAATTGCCTAGATCAGTGGTGGTGAACCTATGGCACACATGCCAGAGGCGGCACTCAGAATCCTCTCTGTGGGCATGTACACCATTGCCCCAGCAGAATTCACCAGAGTAGAGAGCACATGGCATTTGGAAGCGAGCGAGCAAGCGGCGTTGGCCCCCCAGGGATGCCCCAGAGATGGCGAGGGACTGGCCCCGTCATGCTCACCCAGTCTGCCATGACCACTGCAGCCACGCCCACCCAGTGGGCCACGCCCCTGTGCCCCCCCTCCCGGCACAGCACCACAATGCTGATGCAGTCTTGGCACTTTGCGATAAATAAGTGGGTTTTGGGTTGCAGTTTGGACACTCGGTCTCTAAAAGGTTTGCCATCACTGGCCTAGATGCTTGAAGATGTGAAGCCCAGTCTACTCTGATGTCATGATGTAATGTCATTTTATAAATGATATCTACATATATAAAGCAGTTGTTTGTTCTGAATTTAATTTTAACATGTACTCAATATGATCCTGAACCTAGAGCTAGTAGATTTGTGCTGCAAAATGTGATAATTAGGTGTCAGCAAAGAAATGCAATCCAATAGTCCTATTCAAATTTTGACAGCATGGGTTTCCTTTCAAACTTCATTGACAACTAAACACATATGGATCATATTGGACTATTCAGTTGACACTTGGATTGGAATTCATACTCAGTATTCTTTATTAAATTGGAGCTTGGTCTCTAAATATGGCTGTAGAGTTTTAATTTTTGACCAATGTTGCAAGAAGTTTAATGACATAGTGTTAGAGAATGGCACCAAAATACAAAACTCCTTGAAATACAGTCACAGTTGGTAGTTCTCTTGCCTAGCTAAAAGTAAAGGAGTCCCTGCAGATTTTACTCTGCTAGTGGTTGCCAACTATAGGGGGTGGTGCTTAAGTCCATTTCAAGGCCATTGAGCCAGCACTGTCCAAAGACATTTCTGCAGTCATGTGGCTAGCATAAATAAGTGATACCTATTTATCTGCTTGCATTTGCATGCTTTCAAATTGCTAGGTTGGCAGGGACAAGGACTGGAAATACCCCATTGTGTGGCTCTCGGGTGTTGAATCTGGACGACCAGTTTTCCAGCTGACAAGCCCAGTATCTTAATCACTGAGCCATCGTGCTATCCTTCTCTTGCCTAGAAAAAGGTTTTTATTCTCTATAGAACCATAGCAAATAAATGATTCAAAATCCATGTCATTTAAAATATATTTATTGGTCTCTTTGAAACCGGGAACAATACTTCTACTTCATGAATTTCAATTGTCCCTTCTTTCTCTCTGACTTTCAAGGTTTAAGCTCCAAAGGGATGCACATCTGTCCTTCGGTTGGTGACATAATTGCAAATAAAATTATAATCCTGATTTATATATTCAATTCTGTCGGATAAACAGCTGCTGGACTTTTAGGACAACACAATAAGGAGCCAGAAATATTGGGCATTTCCTTTCACCTCCATATATCAGTTTCATCTGGTCTCTGAAAATAGAAGCTGTGAAGAAAATATAATGATTTGCCCTTTAAAACGCAAACATAAACTAGGCTGTAATCTTCTGCCTAGTTTCCTAGGAGAGTATGAGCTCTTTTTGAGTGGACATATGTAAGATCATCTTCAAACTGAACAACAACCTGTTTAAAATCTGTCTTTTAATATATCTGTCTTTTAATATATCTGTCACTTTAATAGTAATTGTAAAAAAAGGTACACGAGATTGCACTGCAGTCTTTTGTTATATGTATCATAAACATGCAAACTATTAAGAACCACCAGTTTTGACCAATACAAAAAAAGGTTCCAATTGTTTGTGATGTACAATATTATCAAAACCAGTCTGATCTACATATTTATTGATTTTTCAAATTTAATAAAAATCTTTCTTTTTACCATTTCTCCTTTTTATAACAATATTTGGATCAGCAGGAACAAACCATACAAGGACTTGAATTTTATTCCAATGCTATAATTCCATTTAAAGAATAAACAATAATACTAATGGGAAAAGTTTTGTATGGAAAACTTTGAGACCAGACAACTAAATGTATGTTATCAAGCAAATTAAAAAAAAAATTACACAAGGATAGAAACCTACATTTTTTTAGGATATAACCAAAATATGTATTTTACAAATATATTTTATATATATATTTTACTGAGCAGCTTAATTAATGTATAATAGAGTTGCAATCTCATATGAAAAGATGTTCAATGTTTTTATATATATTCATGATTAAAAACTTAAATGGCTTTATAAGCTTTTCTATATGTTAATCTAACAATTGATTTTTTAATGCCAAACTAAAACAATGTACTTGTATCATTAAAGATATAATCTGAGAACTCCTAGGGAGGAACTATCTTCCTTTTATCTAGATGAAGCGTATACTCTGGGAACTATTAGGGGCCAGCTGTCTTCACCCTCTTTCTCTCACACAAAACTCAATGTCTTTTGCTCCCTCCCTCCTACATTCCACAAAAATTACTTGTTCTTAGCTTTATGAGGTCAGTGGAAAGGGAAGGCAATTGTGCTCATCTTTAAATTGCTTTTGAGGCATTGCCTACAATGTGAAAGTGCCCGACGCAATATACATATCTTCTCTTCAGATATTGAAATGATTCTCAGTGAAGTATAAGGTGAATTCACTTTTATTTAAGAGTGCACACTTTAAACCCAGGAATACATTAAGACAGAAGTTTGTCCACCCCAAGGACAAAACATTCAGACACAAACAGAGCAATGTGGTATAAGCAGTGCAATACAACGACACATATGCAGGCCTGTACATTGGGAAAACAAAGCAATCACTTCACAAACATATGGCAGAACACAGGAGAACAAATCCATCAGGACAGGATTCAGCAGTCCATCTGCATCTGAAAACAAGGGTCACTCTTCTGAAGACAGCAAAGTTCACATTCTGAACACAGAGGACCACTGGTTTGAAAGAGGATGTCAAAGACGCCATCTATGTTAAAACTGAAAAGCTGTCATGGCTGTATGTCTCCTATTCAAGCTTCATGAGCTGACATTAGCATGGGGGGGGGGGAGATTGGAATTTGAAGAAAGGGGGGATTGAAGCCCAACTTAGCCATGTGAGAAACTCCAGTCAGCCAAGGTCATTAACGATATGCAGAGCTGGAAACCAAACACCTGTTACTGAACAATATACAAATACCTGATTGGATATTTGCAGATAACTGGGAGGTGTGGGGGGGAGGGAACTTTCCTTTGTGTTGTTTGCACAGGAAAACATCCAATTCAGCTTATACTGCTTCTATAACCATTTAAGCTTCAGTAAAGTATTCTCTTGGCAAAACAAATAACCAGGAGTCTTTCTTTGTCAGATGACTGAGTGGGACAGTTGACAACAGCCTTCTTTCAAGACAGAGAGAGAAATACAACATCACCTGTCTCATGTTTACAACACAGTCCTTGCAGCAGTCCCAAGAAGGTTCCACATCCACTTATACTTGAATCAGGTGACTCTGAGGATACAGATAAACCCCAAGTGGCCTCAGACAGCTAACGACTGACCCAAAGTGGCAGATGACTGCAAAGAATATAAATCCTTCCATTCTCCACCAGTTAGTTAGAACTAAATAAGTTTGTTGGGTGAGAAGCAAAATGTTTTTAAAAAAAAACAAACTAGAAAGCCTTTTGTAAAAAGCCCCTTTGGAATGTCTTATTTAAGAGATTATACAACAAAATGAATAAGCATTTTGAAGAAATTATCATTGTTTTAAATTATCACTAAAGAAAAAAATAACAGACCCTGCACTTGCAAGAAAACACTAGGAAGAAAAAAACCTGAAGGACAGATAGTAAACCTATTTCATTTGCCAACTGATAAATAGGAGATTGATTCACTGTATTTCTATCTCAGGATATATCCAGTGTTAAGCATCCAGAAAATGTACACTAAATCAGATAGTTGATCCATGTAGTTCAGACTGTTTCAAATGTCTCTGTAGGCTATGATATGTTTTTCAAAACTCCTTTTTTGAAATATTTCATACATTAGGATTACATTTTTTCCCTGCTTCTTTCCATTAATTTCTAGAGCAGAATTTTTTAACCTAAGATAGTTCAAGATGTGTGGCCTACAACTCCCAGAATTCCCCAGCTAGCAGGCTAATAGTTTTTGATGGAGATTGCTATTAAGGTAATGTAGCAAAGGATTTTCCACCTGTCTTTTCTTGTTTCTCAACGCTTTGCCACTAAACCAATACAGTAAATATGTAATAGCTCCTCAAAACTTTGTGTTTCTACAAAACATAATAAGGGGAAGTATTTTACAGCAGGCTGCAACTTCATTGCCAGCAACAATACAGAGGGTGGAGGGAAAGATAATGGCTGCTTCCTTTGCTGCATTATTTTATCTTCAAGCCACCATTTATTCTTCCCAAATCTTCCTAAACACACACGCACACACACACATACACCAAATGATTCTAGAAATATGGAGAAAGATTTTTCAACCAAGTACTCCTAGTAGAAGTTGTTCCTGCTACAATCTATTATATATGCCACACAGGCAACATAAGGAAACAAATAAAATAAATATAAATATCCAATCAATTGCAACAATTTCAAATAATCTAAACTTAAATCTAGAGCCAAGTAACTCTTCTGTACCTCACCTCATATTAGATGCATTTCCTTTTGTTTTTCCTCAAACTGAGAAGAAATGGGCTATTTGTTTCTCTCTTTAGTTTAGAATAGGGAAATCTGATAGAATCTCTTGTCTTACGGAATATGTAATTCAAGCCTCGAATAAGCGCTGATATAAATAGATATATACACACATTCTTTGATCTAAGTATAGATTTACAAAAAAACATGTTTTTCTGTCACATAGAGATACATCATCTCAAGCACATGACCTCAAGCACCAAATGCACCTGTCAGATGTGCAAATATCTAATAGGCATGATCAAAAGCAATCCTGAAAGGACAAGCCAGGGAAAACATATGTTTGACCACACCATTGTAGCTCACAACTTAACTATGAGCCAGAAGCCAGCAAACCATATGCTAAAAATGAGGAATTAGTAAATTTATAATGCAGTTAGAGAAGTGGAAATCATTTGTTGTTCAGTCTCTAAGCCATGTCCGACTTTTCATGACCCCATGGACCATACCACACCAGGCTCTTTGTCCTCCACTATCTCCCAGAGTTTGCCCAAAATCATGTTCATTGCACTGATGACACTATCTAACCATCTCATCTTCTGCTGTCTTCTTTTCCTTTGCCTTCCATCTTTCCTAACTTCAGGATCTTTTCCATCGAGTACTGTCTTCTCATTTGGTGGCAAAGTATTTGAGCTTCAGCTTCAATATATATCCTTCTAAAGAAGATTTCCTTTAGGATTACTGATATCCAAGGGACATTAAAGAATCTTCTCCAACACAATTTGAAAACATCAGTTCTTCAGCACTCAGCCTTCCTTATGGTCCAACTCTAACAGTCATACATTATACTAGGAAAACCATAGCTTTGACTATACAAACCTTTGTCAGCAAGGTGATGTCTCTTTTTTTATTATATTGTCTAGCTTTGTCATAGCTTTCCTACCAAGGAGCAAATCTTTTAATTTCCTGGTTGTAATCACTGCATTATATAAAATTAAAAATAATCAAGCAGGTTCAGTGATTAAAGATGCTGAGCTTATCGGCTAGAAATCTGACAGCCCAGTTTTAAGAGCCAAGCATTGTGTGACAGGGTGAGTTCCTGTTACTTGCTCCAGCTCCTGTCCACCTAGCAGTTTGGACCACTGAAGCCCTGGGCAGAGGCATCTATATAGGAGATTCGGGTCTTAAAAATGTCAAGATGGCAACTGCAACCATGTGATCAAAGGTCTACCTCTTAAAATAGATGGAGCTTTGATTGTTCAGATATAGCCACTATCTTGACTTTTGGACATCCTCTGTGGATGTCCTGATCCCTGATTTTGCTACTGAAGTGACTTTATTTAATATTTCTTAGATTGTTGATTTGTAAACATTATCGCAAATAGGATTGTTATGAAAAAGATTTTCAATTAAACCACTCCAATGAAGCAGAACCACAAACTGAAGCAATAACTAACTTCAGAGCAGTGAATCAGATCAGATGATTTCCAACCATTTTGTAGCCCTGGGAGAGGTTTAAAATATCATTTGCTTGGGGGATTTATTTTTGTGTCCTTGAATACTGGACACAGCCAGGGTTTACTTGGCAGATTTTGGCAATAGTTTGCCCTTTCCTAGAACTGTGAGACACTAACTGGCCCAAAGCCACCCAGTTGTTTTCATGTATAAGGTTTTTAACTTACTCTTTCCCAGTTTCCAGCCTGATGCTTTTAACCCCTATGCCAGCTTCTTCTATAAAAACAGTATATGACATATACAG